ACCCTTCCATCTTGCCAAGTCCCCCCTTTCCTGTTTTCCTACCCTCCTCTCACCAGGAAGAGGCTGAAGCTTTTTTGTTGATCAAAAGGCCTGGTAACCTTGGGACAGTCTGGCTGTGATGTAGATTTGGGGAACAGAGGTCCTAGGGAGTGGTTGGTGGCTTCCCTTTGGTGGATTCTGAAGACAGAGCTCCTGGGGCAGCAATGGCCATGGCATCCCTGGACTTGAGCTGGCACAGAGGGACGGGGGCTGGTCACTTCGCCTCACTTTCATCATCTGTGAAATGAGAGAGTAAAATCTGGTAGTAGTAATTAAATTCTGAGGTTGTAGGGTAGACCAAGTGAGATGATGTGTGTAAAATACAGGGCCTGGCATGTAGCAAACACTCAAGCAATATGAGTCTTTAGAAGGAAGAGCTGTTTTTGGTACAAGTGTATGGAATGCGGGGCCTTAGGGCTTTCCTTAGTCACTCTCTGCCACGTTCATGTTTGAGCCCAAATTTGTTCAGGCAAATGAGCGGATGCTTTACTGCCTGTTTGTGCTTCAGAATTTTTAAAAGAAAATTTCAAACCTAGGCCCCCTTAAATGTTGACCAGAAACTGCAAGTTTTCTTCAAGCTTTTAGAACTTCGACTTGAGATTACTGAAAGTCCCATATCCCCAAAAGAATATTCCCTGGTCTCCTAAGCCTCCAGTTTAAAGATTATGTACCATGCGACCACAGCCAGGTGCCAGATGTGGTGAACTGCTGGATGACTCTTCCTTCTGAACAGTCTCCTCGAGGCCCAAGGGCAGAGGGTCCTGCCAGATCTCCTGGGCCACCCCTTTGCGTTCAAGACTGCAGATGCAGCTCCTGCATTAGACTCATTCAGGAAAGAGGGACCAAGGGATTTCATTCAGGAGGAAGAAGCAGGAGCCTACTGTTTGGTTTGTAAATGCATTGGTTGAAGTGTTGTCATATGTCACTTCACACCTTAGAGAGGAAAGAGAAAACACCTTATAGAGGAAAGAGTAAGGATTTCTTATCCTCCAGGCTATTGTGAGTCTGCCTTTCAGCTATCCAATTTAAATTAGCAAGTAATTAAGTCACACAAACAGAAGTTGCTTTCCCATGAGCACAAGACCCTCAGAACTATCTATCCCATTGGGCCTTACCGAGAAAGAAGCCTGGTTTCCCTCTCTCTTGGTTCTTCCTTTTTCCTATCTTGGGATATCGGGCTCCACATGGTGTTGAAATTATGAAAAATGTTGACCCCACAAGAAGTTCAAGCTTGATAAATATGTCTGTGTGACGCCTCCCAAGGATCTGTTTGAAAAGTGAATTTGCTCCCCATGAGGGGAATTGGAATCTGCTCCCGTATAATGAGAGGGGTGGCCTGTGAGCTCTTCTTGTCCTTAACCAAAGTCAATTTCCTGCCCTCTCCATTCCACCCATGCCCGGCCTGCTCTGTTTGGCTGGCTGTGGCAGCAGCATCGGGCTGGGGCTGCAAAGTGCTATATCATTCCCTGAGCAAAAGGATGGGCCATGTCAGCCAGGTCTCCCTGGAAAAAGTAGAAATAAATCAAACACCAGCTCCTACTTAAGATCTGATGAAATTCTCCATTTCCGTTCCAAATTGAATTCCTCCCGAAGGATTGGAGCAGCTCCTGGGAGTAATGAAGGCTCTCCTTCCTCCTCTGCTCGAAGCATGTTTTAGATTAGCGGCCGCAGCATTCTAATCTGGGTGGGTAGGTAGCGTTCAGGAACAGTCTGGAGAAAGTGTTTTCAGACCAGACACGATATTTTTAATCCCGAAGGGCAAGGTGGCAGACACGCAATCTGCTTGGCCTCTGCGAGGAGGCAGCCCCGCCGGTGGTCTCCCGGGAAAAAATGACAACACGTGGCCCATGTGGCTCGCACCACCCCCTGCCTGCCCACGCCCTTCTCCCCTACACTTGGAGCCAAAGAGAGTTTGTGGTGGAGAATACAAGCAAGAGGGCTTGTGCTTTTTGAGGTTTAAAATATCACTTTCCTGCCCATCTTTTACTTGGGGAAAATGGTAAATGCTGTGATTTCAAAAAAGAACGAAGGAAATGCTCTTAGGATAAGGATATTATTAAAGTGATTGTCTTCTGTCGTCCTCTGTAGCGATGATGAATCGGCAGTCTGGCATTTGTAGAGGCAGTTGACACAGACCCTGTCAGGGGACAAAAAAAAAGAAACTCTGATTTCCAATGGGCCTTGTCAGGGTGAAGACTGATCCCCAGCTGGCGGATTAGGACCGTGAATACAACTCTGAGAGCACAAGAATATGTGAAGAGCCAAGGGGTTAGCCTATGAATCAAGGTTAAAGTAGGGGTAGAAGATTCTAGAAGTTCATTCTGTTTCGAGGGTGGACGTGAGGTAACTTATCTGTCGGGCAAGAGATATTTCATATTACTTCTTAAAGTGAACTGACGAACATTAGTATACTCTTCTTCACTCCCTGTCCAAGAAAAGCAGTTTCAAAAAGATGAGGTTTAAAAGGTTTACTAAACATGAGCAACTCTGGCATTGAGGGTCAAAAGGAAGGAAAGAACGTCTTGAAGGAATTTTCTGTGGGTCCTTTGGTGCACAAATTTTGCTCACAGCCCTTGAGAAAGGTTATCAGGACCTTGCTCCATGTTTTTAATTCACTTTTAAGAAAGAAACCATTTCCTTCGTAGGAAAATAGTCGCAGGCATCCAGCAAGTAAAACCCAACTTTAGAGGGCAACAGGCCGCTGGAGGATTTAGAGCCAGGTTCCCAACCGGAAAATTGCTTTTCAGGGAGAAGGTCATGTTTTCTACTGATAATAGGGTCATTTATATCAAGTTAAACACCCTTCCTTCCGATCCAGGAGGATGTTTAAGCTTGGTCTCCCTGAACGGACAGTAGGAAATACACTTATCCCCAGCTCAGAAGAAAGGTTTGAGGATGGGAAATGGGAATTTAGGTTGAATTCCAGTCTGTCCTGAGCCTGACCCTCCGTGACCTGGATGCACCGAGCTGGGGCGGTATCAGCCGAGTACTGAAGGGTGGGGAAGGAAGTCTGGTGGACACAACAAGGACTGTTCAAGGGGAGAGAACGAAAGGGCAGGAAAATGAAATGCCAGCCCCCACACGGCCGCTTCTGTGCATGCCTCAGGCCCTCGCAGACTTACGTTTGCATGCATGGGCCTTGGCTGTGCTCCCACGCCAGGACAGAACAGCAGGCAGGTACCCCCGGACAGTGCAGCCTTTTTCTTCACGATCAGCCTTGCTGTGATTTCACTGTTACCCACTTGTAGAAACCTCCTGGCTTGAGTGGTCCATCACCCAGGCTCTGCGAGGGCGTGTGCATGTCTAACTCTGGCTGGCGAAGCCTTCCCACGCGGGCTTGCCTTTAAGCCTGTTTATAAGGCCTGAAGTTACTTCTGTTTTGTTCTAGCCAAAAGGGTGAAGTGCTGCCAGCAGTATGTCTGGAATGTTATTTACTCGGTACATTTCTGTGGCTTCTCTTTGTAGCACTGCAGATGCCAGAGCCAGGGGTCATTTACTGGAAAGTGCCAGGTTCTACAGTTTGTCTTCTCCATGGGGTGACTTAGCTCCTGTGCCTCTCAGACCTTCTTTCCTCCCTCCCCCCTTCTTTCTGTCTTTCCCTTCCCTCCCCCCTTTCCTCCCTCCCTCCCATCCGGTTTTTTTTTCCTGAGTTAATGACCTGAACTACTGTTGGTGCCTGTTGCTTCGCACCTTTGTCTAAATGCCCCAACTCCATTGTAATTTCTGGGGTTTCCGGTGGACTCTTCAGAGCGCCTGGCGGTTGCTTTTCCATGTGCGTGCCTGCCCTGTTATTATCTCCCATGAAAGCTGTCTGTTTTGGCAGACGAGACTCCCGCGATTGCAGTTGAGCTCTCTGAGCTGAATGGGTGATGTTGTGCAGGGGAAATATAGGTGGGGTTTCCTCTAATGGTGGCCGTGGGGGCGGAAGAGGAATCTGCAAGCAGTCTTGGCTTGTGTGGAGCCGACACGATGGCAAATAAATGGCTTTGGAAGGAAAGAACCGGTGTGTGCAGTTGCTTAATTTGGGAGGTTTCACAACTGTTTTCATTCAGTTGACGGGGGAGCGATGTTTTCAGAGCAGATTCTTCATTAGGGAGGCTGTAAACAAGTCCTGGAAAAAACTAGAAATGCCGAAGGTGGGTGCATAGGAGGCATGGTTGGCCTCTTTCTTCTTCAGCCCCCCCCCATTTCATCCATGCAGTTTTAATCATGGTATTTGGGGTCTTAAAACAAGGCATGAAAAACGAGATTAGATAAATCTCCCTGTCTGGTGCCAGCCCTGGGGCCGTTTGCACACCTGGGCGGGTCAACTCCCAACATTCTTTCCCTGTCAGCATCATTGTGGCATGCCGTGTGAATCTATAAGCACCTACGGGTACTGCAGATACGCCTTGCAGAGACTCGGTCTTTATCTGGGTCTCCTGGAAACCTCGTCCTCCACAGTACCTGTTAGTTTGTTAATTCCATAACCAGCCCCCGTGTGGAATGGAAAATTTTGGGTTCCGTTCTTCTTGGCTTTCTCTGTCCTTCTGCATGACTTCTCAATTTGTTTGTAAGCTGCGCGGATTTTTGGCTGAAGGGTCTTCTTTGATCACTCTCCTGACAGCATGGGCTGCACATTCTCACACCTGCTCTTCTTTTACAGGCCAGATTTCAGAGTAAATGCTTCCATTGCCTTGTAATTTTTTCAGTGTAAAACTTCGGCGCAGGTTACTTATTACAGGTAATAGCCGTTTGATGACGGAGACAACCTCTTGGCAGAGACAGCAACCGGAGCCACTGCCAGAAACAGAAACTGCCCCCTTGTTTATGTCTCAAAGCATCTGAGCCGCAAGCCTGCCAGTCATGATCCGGCACGCACATGCTAAGCGCAGACTCGCTAGGCTGAGGAAGTGGCCCTGCAGGTAGCGCCAGGATGGGCTCTGACAAGACCCTGTGTGTTTTCTCCCCGCTCTCCACAGCCCACACATCATCTTCCTCTCCCAGAGCTCCCTGACAGGAACGAGCCATCTCTGCGGGACCCGTCTCTGCCACGAGATTGCTCATGCCTGGTTTGGCCTGGCCATCGGGGCCCGTGACTGGACGGAAGAGTGGCTGAGTGAGGGCTTTGCCACTCACTTGGAAGATGTCTTCTGGGCGGCAGCACAGCAGGTGGGTTGAAAGTGACCCTCAGCAGTTCACTACCTGGAGTCACACCCTCTTTGTAGTCATCCATTCAGCATCTGGGTACTGAGTGCCTGCTGTGCACTGGGCACTGTTTTCGCTGGGGAGATAGCAAATAAGAGAGCTCCCTGCTTGCCACAGGGTTCATGATCTAGAGATGGGAGACAGACCAATTCATCTGTAAAACGGGTCAGATGAAGAAAAACGAGCCCCCCGGGGAAGGGGAATATTATCTTAGAAGGTAGTGAGAGACGGCCTCTCTGCTAAGAATCTGAGCACAGACATGAAGCAAGGTTCACACGTGTGTTTTGAAGAAAGAGATTAAGATCTAAATCAGGAGTCGGTCTCAGACGTCTGCACACAACTAGAGTGAAGGGGTTGGTGTTGTAGATTAGGGACGGGGGAAGACTATGGCAAGCTGGCAGCCGCTGCTCAGCTCTAACCAGTTGTCATGTCGAAGGGAAGAGGGCTCAACACAGCCTGAACTTTGAGATTTTTAAGGGGATCATACATCTGGATTATCCTGTGAAGCTGCTAATTTTAAAAACTGTATGCAAACTAAACATAAACAGAACAGAACTGATCCACACACTCCCAGTTAAATTCTCCCTTAAAGAACTGACCACCAGATTTAATGAGTACAACGGGCCACTACGCTGCTGCCTGCTTGCCTTCAAGTTCCTATTATTTGGGTCACTTCTTCCCTACCAGCCTTTTCTCTCACTCACGGGACTATTTGGCATCTTCCCAAAATTCCAGGCTTGTGCATCCCTGTATGATTTTGTTCAGGATGCTCCATCTGCCAGCTCGAGGTCCCCTTCTCTGGCTAGCACAGACTGATCACCTCACCCACAATTCTCCCAGAGACTTTGAACTCCTGCAATATTAGGTGATGGCTTCTTTTTTTCTCACTTAAAGTAGACTGGGTCTCACTCAGTCTTCTGTCCTCTTCTTAGCAATGTGCATGTCACTGTCCCCTGCCCCATGGAGTCCTGTGAAGAGAGGCTACATGGTAGATACAGAAAAGAGGCTGGGCTCTGAGTTGGAGCAGACTTTGAATCTCAGCTCTGCTTTTCACCAGCTTTGTGAGCCCTCCCCAGGCCTCAGTTTCCCCCGTTGTAGAATGACTGTACGAATGCCGAACCTTGCAGGGTGAGTGCGATAATGTATGAATAAGCGTAGCACAGTATCCAGCACATGGAAAGTGGGTAAGATATGCTTATTCTCCTCCTCTCTGCACACAGTAGGCACTCAGGAAGGGGCTAATGTCAAATGTGCCTCTATCTCGATCTCTTCCTTGGGGGCCTTCCATTCCGAGATAGTCAGACTCGTGCTGGTCTTGGCCGGTGTCTGTGTCTTAGGCATCTGATCGAGATACCTCTGTGCTTTATCTCAAGCATCCCCAAACAGTGTTCCTCTATACCCTGCCCCTGCCTGTACTTCTAGGTGGTCACACCTTGATCTCCCGGCTCGGGTTCTGCCTTTGCCCCAAGTGTGTCCGTGTCCACTGACAGAAGCCAGCCAGGCTACATCTTACAGCTGCGTACCATCTGTGTCCACTCTGTACTAGATCTGTAGGGATAAAACAGTGACTAAGACACAGCCATACCATAGTCTAGTTGGGACACAAGAAAAGCATGCAGTGGAAGGAAGAAGAAAGCAAGTTAGAAAAGAGAGTCAAATACCAAATATTGTTGGCGTTCAAAGGTAGGAGAGGTGAGGTCTGAGCAGACCCAGGAAGGCTTCTTGGAGGTGGTGACTTTGTTGTGGGTCTCGAGGGGAAGGCAGGAGTTACACTTTTTCTCTCCCTCCTTTTCCCTTACCCCGCATAGGATCAACCCACCTCTTCATGCTTCCTTTGAAGTACATGAAGTAGCTCTTCAAGACATGGAAACATAAATGCTCCAGTGGCAAAGGGACCATTCTTGAGTCTAGCACACAGTTGGGAAACGTTTCCAGAGCACGTTTGCCCCTCTGATAAGTAACTCTGCGGTTACTTATGCTCCCAGGGCTTTAAGGGTGAGACTGAACTGGTGCTGGGCCCCAGTGTGTGCCCACCTCAAACCTTCCTGGCAATAGGAGAGTGCCCAGTGAGGCAGGTGCGGGTGTGCCACCTCATGGGACATTCCTGGTCAGCAGCAGGCTGTGCCAGTGAAGCAGGTGGGGGGTCGCATTGGCGGCAGTGGCTGTGTGGGTCGCTTTGCTGCCTGGGAGACTTCCCTCTGCAGCACTGAGCCTCAGAAAGAGTGGCAAGAGGGGGCGTGTGAAGTCATGGAACGAGGAGGTGGTAGCCAGCCTTCCCCTCGATCCGATGGGCATTCCACAGGGATGGCTGAGTCAGTCAGCTGCAGGGCTGAGTTGTGTAACTTGTCATCAGCCCGGATAAAGTCTTAACTCCTTCCCAGGCGTGTTAATCTCCTCGGAGGCCATAATGAAGTCCCGCAGACTGGGTGGCTCAGGCAGAAGGCATGTTTCCCACAGTTCTGGAGGCTGGAAGTCCAAGACAGAGGTGCTGACAGGGTTGGCGTCTGGTGAGGCCCCTCCTGGCTTTGCCGGTGGCTGCTGGCTGCCTCTTCTCTATGCTCGCATGTGGCCTTTCCCCTCCGCGTGGAGACGAAGAGTACTCTGTTGTCTCTTCCTCTTGGCAGAAGAACACCAGTCCTGTGGGATGCAGGCTGCACCCTCATTTAATCGGAATTAGCTCCTTGAAGGCCGTCTCCAAATACAGTCACGTTGGGGTTCGGTCTCGAACATATGTCTTTTGGGAGGACACAGTTGCGTCTTTACTAAAGGCACACAAAGTCTGTTGATCTCAGCCCCACTCCGCCTCCCTCCCTGGTGGAGTCTGCTCCCGGCCGACTGCCCCCCACCTCACCCACCCCCCAATCCTCTAAGCACACCTGCCCTTTCCAGGTCCCATGTGCCTCGCGCCTGCTTTTCCTCTTCCTGACTCCCCTTTCCCTGGCTGACCTCTTCTGTCCTTGAGGACCAGCTTGGTCATCACCTCCTCGCAGGAAAGCCCTGGTTGTCAAGGGGGCTTCTGGGTGGTTCCTTAACCTCCACCCACACCTGTGCTCTGGTGTTAGCGTTCTCACCTGTCTGCGCCTCCCGCAGACACCCCACAGGAAGGATCTGTCCTTAGATTCCCCAGGGCCTAGCAGGACTCAGTGAATATCTGTTGAATGAATGATTAGAGACCTTTGATTTCCAGAAATGCTTCTAGACACTAGACCTTGTCCCCTGCCCCCTGTGGGTGTTCTGCGCCATCCCTTGCAGAGAACACAGCCGTGTAACCTTGTGAGCATGTCCCTGTGACGCCTGCCGGCTCTGACTCAGTAGGGCAGAGTGTGACAGCCTCCCCACCCCCTACCCAGAATGAGTCTGGACAGTGCCTTTTTCTGGTTATGGGCAAAAGCAGTCCTCCGGGTTGTGATAGCAGTCCTTAACCAGATAAGGACTAGGGAAGGGAGGCAAATTTAGGGGCCTTCCCCACCCTGCACAGAAAGACAAAGCAGGACGGAAGACTGGATGAAATAAAAGTGGAGCCAGGCATGGTGGCTCATGCCTGTAATCCCAGCACTTTGGGAGGCGGAGGCAAGAGGATTGCATGAGTCCAGGGTTCGAGACCAGTCTGGGCAACTTGGCGAGACCTTGCCTCTACAATAATAAAAAAATTAGCTGGGTGTGGTGGTGCACGCCTGAGGTTCCAACTACTCAGAAGGATCACCCGAGCCCAGCAGGTCGAGGCTGCAGTGGCCATGAGTGTGCCACTGCACTCCAGCCTGGGCGACAGAGTGAGACTCCGACTCAAAAAAGAAAAAAAGAGAATCAAAAGTTGAAAGGGTCCATGGGAAGCCCACTCTGTCTTGGCCAGGTGTTGGAGGAGTGGGTGGGATCCAGGACCGGGGCCCCCTCATCAGGCAGGTCAAGCCCCACCCAGCAGCACAAGAGTGTGAGGTTGGTTTGAGGAGCCAAGAGGCTGCCTTGGCTCTTTGTCCGACTGGAGCAAGGTGGAGGCAGCAGCCACGCCACCCCACTGAAGCCCAGCAAGCCTTTCCATGAGGAGGACAACATGACGGTGACGGCTTTGTGTTTGTGTGTCCACCCGGCAGCTGGCCCCCCAGGAAGCCCAGGAGCAGCAGGAGCTGAGGGCCTGCCTGCGCTGGCGTCGCCTCCAGGATGAGACACGGAGCTCCCCCGAGGAGATGCAGGTGCTGAGGTAACGCCTTTTGTGATCTTGTTACCTTCTCTGTCCAGCTCTGCTTTTCTCCAAGATGCATCCAGGCCATCTGACTAAACCTATTGTGTTTCCTCTTTAAATTCAGTTGGGATGCGTGACTCGCTCTCCTGGGGCCGGGATGCTTGTGTTTTCAGCGGTTCAGGCTGTGGGTTTCAATGTGCCTCCTGACATTTTCCTGGTGCCCCTATTCAGGAAAAAAAATTAGCGTGGGGCCATTTCCGGGACCAAATTTGTCGTTTGAACTTCTAATAGTCACTTTATTGGTGGCTGTGGACGTAGTGAAGGTTGAGGGTTGACCGCCTGGCAGACAGTAGTAACCCTTTAAAGCAAAAGGAGAAAAACCTCTTTAGGAAAATATTGATTCCTAAGTGTTGAGCCGTCACAGATGTGTGTGTCAATGGGGCCTTTTGTTTCTCGAATGCAGCCCAGCAGGAGGCCGTGGGCTTGCCAACGGTAGGGGGGATGCACAGCCAGGGGGTTGGAGACGGTGTTTGTACACTGTGGCCTGTGGCCCTTACAGGATTTCTTTTGCTCTTCTCTCCAAGGTTTACTTGAACCTCCTCACTTTGCTCCTTTTCTTCACTAAGTGGTCACCTGAAACCTCCTGTTTAGGCCCGGCAGCACTCAGGTTGCTATGGCAACCAAAGCTTTCATGCTGCCCCCTCTTGACTAGAGTCAAGCGTTTGCAATCCGCCATCCAACAGGTGGGCAGGATGGGCCATCCTGGAATAGCCACCCCTCCCTGCCCGTCCTTAGATGGCCACCCCAAAGGCCAGTCCACCTCTCTGGGCAGGAGCCCGCCTTGGCCAGCACTGCTGTTGTGGTTTGTTTTTAATTTTAAACAAACACCCCAATTCCCCTGACTTGGAAATGCACCCACCCAAGGCGGCCAGACCCCAGGAGCAAGGCTGGTGGGTGTCTGTGAGCTGTACTGCAGAGCAGGGTGTAGCTCGCCACACCCTTCCCACGGAAGTTCCCTGCGCTTGCATGCCAGCTGACTCATCCACGGTTCAGGAGATACAGTCCCAGCAGTGGGCAGCGCCGCGGGCCAGGAGCCTGGAGCTCTGCGTTCTGCCCCGGAACCACTGTTCCTGTGTCTGTCCGTTCAGCCAGTGTTTACTGAGCCAGGCAGGACGGCCACCCTCAGGGCCAATGTGGACAAGGTCCTTGCTCTCACGAAGCTTCCACTGAGCGGGAATGGTGTTGCATGCACCAGCTGGTCACAGGTGGTGAGCAGTGCTGTGAAGGGACTGTAGTCATGTCTAGACTCACTGGAGGGCTTCTAGGAAGGAGCTCGGGGGTGCCTCTGAGAATGAGCCAGATGTGCAGAGCCTGGCAGAGGAGAGGCGGGGAGGCCAAGGCAAGAAAGAGCCTGGCATGTTTTAGGGACAGAAAGGAGGAGGGTATGACTGGAAAAGGGACAGAGAGCAGGCCCAGGGGAGGCAGCAACCAGGTTACTTGTACCTCACTCCAGGTTCCCCAGAAGCCACCACAGGACCTCTGGCAGGGAGGGAGCATGAGATATGTGGGGTGCTTTGACAGGACTGCTGTGTTGCCACGCAGTGACTGGGGCAGCCTGTGGAAAGAAAAGTGCTGTGGTCCTCGCAAGAGGTCGCGGTGGCGGCAGCGACAGACGCAAGCAGCAGGCCTGTTTGAGATGTGTCTCGGTGGTGGAACTGGCAGTCTTTGGCAGATTGCATGCGAAAATGAGGGAACTGAGGATCCGAATGTCTTCTAGGTTTGGGGATGGAGCAGTCGAGTAGGTGGTAGTGTCATTCGGGAGACAGTAAAGACTGGGAGAGGCAGGCTTTGGAGAGAAACATAAAGGTTCCAGTTTTGCATGTGGTAAGTGTGTGATGCCAAATTCAGTATTAAGAACTCTGGGGTCTACAGGACATGAGTTCATTTGGAGAGTTTGGAACATTCAGCCTACATAATATTTAAAATTCTGAATTCATGGAAATCATCAGGGAGAGAGGAAAGAGAAGACGTGAGGAGGAAGATGAGGAGTCAGCAGAGGATCCTGGGAAAACCAGTACGTGTGGAGGAAATGGACACTGGGGGTCATAGAAACCAGAAAAGAAACCGAGGCGTAAGTGGGGAGTGGCGAGTGGCTCGTGTTGGATTCTGCCCAGGGGTGTGTAAAAGGAGAGAGAGGTGGGACCACATGAAAGATGTTGGTGACCTTACATTCATGCCTTGGGGTATGCATGAAGAGTGGAGAAAGAAGCCTGGTTGAAGTGGGCAGAAGAGTGGACGGGAGGCCAGGAAGTGGGGCCATGTGTGTAACTGGGTGGGGGAGATTGTGCTGACCAGGGAAGCAGTCCTAGGGGGATAGCAGAAGGAGGCGAGGCTCAGAGAGGCCCACTTCTGCATGGGAGACCCATGAGCACGCTTATGTGCAGGTGGACCACTGTGCACATCCCTCAAAGACTTTGTTTCTCCAGCTAAGAGATTATCTCCATTCTCCACATCTCTCAGTGCCTTTAATGCCTCTGGCTCTGCATGACCATAGTTCTTTGGTGGAGGGTAGGGACATCAGAGTTAATATTACTTTTGATAGAATGTGTTTCCAACTCATAAGCCAGTTGGTCTGCACCCTGGGATGTCAGTTCACACGAGAAGAGCCCCATCTCTGGCTTCCATGGAGCCGTGGTCAACCCAGTTCTGATGGCCAAGATCTTTTCCTGTCTGTGGAGTTGGGAGAATATAGTGCTTTTAGACCTCTGTGCTAGAAGGCTTATTATGGCATTTTGTGGTCTTTGTAATTGCGTTTGTCTAAATTTAGACTAACCATGAAAGGACTGTAGTTGAAAGATTTATTGACCATCAGTATAGAAAACATTATCAGATGCACTTACAATGAGGAGGAAATATTTTTGAACCTGCTCCAAATGCTATGGTGTAGATTTAGTTTATTCTCATCCCCTATAATTCTCCCTTAAATGGGCACAGAGAACCTAGAAATTATTCAAAGTGAAAGAAACAACTAGAAAAAAAAAAAAAAGAAAAGCGAAAGAAACAACTAGAGTTGTAAAAATGTGTTCTCTGATTTCGTTTTGGGTTAATATTGGGAAAGAAGTCCCTTAAAACAATACAACGATCAGGGATGCTATTTTCTTTTTTTCTCTGAAGATAACCCATGGTCTTGAAATGATGGTCCAAGAATAATGTAAAAATCTTGATTTGTGTCCTGTAAGTCCCTCTGTGTTGACAGACGCAATGGAAACTTCTTTGATGATCTTTGCAGCAGTTTGCAACATGGCTGACCACGCCCTCCTTCTGAAACACTCTGGTTTTCAAATAGTCTTCACATACTTTCTTGTCTTAGCTTTTGTGTGTCACACTCTCCTTGATTTCCCTCGACTTCATTGGCCAGTCCTCCTCACCTCTCTTGCTGGCAATTTAACATCTCCACTTAAACGACTTTAGGCTCAGAAAGACAGAATAACATAGTATGTCTAACCTCAGAGCAGGGATTTAAACCCAGGAATTGAAACTATTCTCTTTTCCCTACACCATATTCTTGTCTTCAAGGAACTTGATATAGCATTTAATTGCATTAAAAAAAAAATACTCCAGGTATCTTATACTCTGGAAAAAACTTACAGGTCAGAGTGAAAAAGTATCTTTGGACCAAGCAACTTTGCCTTGTAACTCATGAAAGCCTGTGTCTTATTATTTCAAAAGACACTGGGTAAAAAGAAAACTCAACAATCTGTTAGTTATAGATAACTGGAGTATTAACAAAGTGAGAGGAATTCCAATTTTGTTTGGCTCTGATTTATTAATTTCAATCATTTATAAAAACTGTTGTCCATTTGTGCCTTCCATACATCCACTGTTAAGCCATGGGTCTCCTAAACGGTGTCTTGGATAGACTTTGTTTTTAGTTTCTTTTGCATCAGATCTCTCTTAGATTGACTTAGTTGTAAGTTTCCTCTGGTTCAGGTTTCTTGAATTTTCATAGCCTTTGCAGCCTTCTTTGGCTGGAAGCCTATAATGTGGCTGCAGGTTCCTGAGGCATGGATATTTGCTCAGAGTTTTACGGTGTTAGGGGTCACATTGATGACTCCATTTCTCACTTGTTAATTATTAAAGATGTCTTTCCCATACAAGAGATCCCAGTGACTCTCCACAGACTCACCCTCACCCCTCCATTAGCCCTGGGCAGAGCTGTCTGCCAGGCAAAGTCTGATCCTATGGTTATTCCATTCTGTCCTGCCATTGCTTGGCTATTTCCTGTTGGGTGTCCCTATAAGCTCCCTTTCTGACCAGGGCAACAGTGATGGCTCTTGCCAAAGAAGATTTTAGAGTGCATTGGAAAGGCTCCCGGTGTCTCCTGTCTCTAGGGTGCAACTGAATTCTCGCAGCTTCTCTCTAAGTGCTTTCAGCTAGCAAGCATATCCTGACAGGCCCCCAGAAGGGGAGAGCTCTGGTGGCAGGGTCAGAAAAAACCTCTGTTGGTGATTTATTATCACTCCCTCTTTTTTCAGGATCCATTGTAAAGTCAAGCTCATACTGAGAAAAATGTTCCAATGTGGCAGTTAAGAAGGAGCAGACAAGCCCGCCTCTATGTCGCTCTTAATCATAGCCGCCTCCTCCACGGTTGATGCAGTGCTGGGTAAATGTGGGCCTCTTTCCCTTCCTTCCTCCTGAATGCATCACCCCGGTCACAAAAGCCTCCTGTGACAATGGGGGGGGACCCAAGTGTGTAACTCGGTCCCTGACCAAAGTCAAGTGTGCGTGCCACCAGTGTTCTGTGGACCGCACGGTGCCTGAGCACTGTGCCTTCCGCTTAGAATCACAAGACTTGTCTCATGAAAAGCCTGCTGTGTGGAAATCTCTATTATACTTGCAGTTTTCACCTCTAAGGTTTTTCTCAAATTGTTTACTTCTGATTCCTGAAGAACACAGCAGTCTTTTCCACCCACGCGTAGGGACACATCCATTCGCCGCGACACGAGCCTGCCTTGTGG